TGGATTCTGGCCCAGCTACTTACCAAGGACATGACTTGGAACAAGGCACTTAACCTCTCTGGGTTTCAGTTTCCTTAGGTGGTGCTCTTCCTCCTTCAGGGATGGGGAAATAATGTAGCTGTTCTGTGAATGGAAGCCATCACGGTGACAGCTTCTACAGCTCCCGGTCCAGGTTGGTTCACCTGAACTCCAGCCTCCCCACTTCCCACCCTATGTACTGGGTCAAACCAGTCTGTCTGCATGGAACCTCACTGCCATTTACACCCAGCAAGGGCACCTTAGAAAGGCACTGGCTCCAATGGAGAAGAAGCTGATCCTTCCCTCTGGGGTGCATGTGGTCCAGCTTGAGAGGCTGCTGCAATCAGAAGAATACCGCTGAGGCCCTTAGTTCCTCTGCCTGTAAAGTGAGGTGAGGGGTTTACTAGGGTCTCCGGGGTCCTGTGGGTCTGTCTCAGCTCTGAGGGAGGAAGTCCACTGCTATTGAAAACCGCTGCACTGGCTTGGCAGGCCCAGCAGGTGGCACTCTGTCCTAACTACCTAGGGGCTGATGTGCGTTGTGGGCTGTGGTTTGGCAAGTGCCCGGAGTGAGACAAGAGATGGTTTATTTAGCTTCCCAAACACAGAAAGTAATTTGCAGGAAAATATTGGTTGCCTGCAAGCATATGGTCCTTGTTGTGTACAGTGTGGGCCCACACTGCCTTCTCCATTTCCCTCCCCTCCTCCCACAGCTCCCCTCTGGGTGCAGGCACACACACATCTGGGTCCGCACACACCCCGGGGCACGTACACACCTGCGTCACTGTCTTGGCTACTGTTAGTATACAGAGGATTCAAACATTTCTTTCCCCTCTGGCCAGAGTCAAGCAGAACTAGGAGTGGAATCTCCTTGGGGGAAGGAAGCCAATTCTTGCATATCTCAGTGTAGCAGTCAGGAAGGCCTAAGTCGTGTGACCAAAAGCCCCAAATCTCAGTGGCATAAAACAATCTCAGTGGCATATTTTCTGCTCACCTTGGCAGTCCTCTGAATGTCAGCTGCAGTCCTCCTGCAGGTTCATTCAACTCCAGGAGGCCGGCGGGCCGCGCAGCCCGATCTGGAACACGGCCCGTCTCACGGCAGGGAGGAAAAAGAACATGCTGCACTGTGGCATTTCAAGTTCACATTTTATGGGCAAAGCAAGTCACAGGCTAGGGCTGCTATCATAGACAGGGCAGGGCAGGGTATTCCTTGGGGGAGGGGCACAGACAGCAAAGCCTTTATACATGTAGCACAAACTGTCTTACCATGTAAGAGGTTCTTGGAAATCTGCCCCTTGGAATTACTGATCCCAGTGTGATCTTCATTTGAAATGTGAGTCTCATCCTAGAAAACTCAACTGACTTTTATCAAGTTCTCCTACATGCAAAGGACTGCTAAGGCCCTGAGTAGAGGGAGAACCACCATCCAGCAAGGCAGAAAAGCAAAGGCTGGAAGCAAAGCACACAGAGGGCCTGTTCGGCCAGGGCCAACAGAGAGGGAGGAAACGCACCAGGAGGGGGAGCAGTGATGTGGAGGCACCTGGGCTGGCTTCGCAGAGGGTGTGCGTGCCCCTGAAGGCCACACCCTGGGGCAGCCACGTGTGTGGACGTGTGTGCACGCCCTGCTCTGAGCTGTCCTCAGTCCATCTGCACTCACTCTCATTGCGTATCCATGATGGATGAGGTACGATCCCACCACACATAGGAGCCAAAGGAAAGCAGGGACTGCCCTGCGCTCCAGGAGGGACAGACAGTGGATATTCTATCCCAAATCAGCACAATCAGTCCTAGGACGGGGGCTTCCCGAGCAAACACGGACACTGAATGCTGCCTGGTGCCGCAGAATAAGGGGTGTTCGGAGAAGAAGTGAACTAGTTTCTGAAGTTCTAACATTAGTCAGGCACAGACGAAGGGTAGGTCACTCCAGTCAGAGGGAGTAGCTTGTTGGCAGAAGAAAAATGAGAATAACAGCACATTATTTTTTTTTAATTGTGAATAGTCCATCATGACTTACAGTTGGAGCAATGGGCGGGGGGGGGGATTACTAGGAACAGAGATGAAGCCTTCTCAGAGAGGGTCAGGGTGTGGAGGGCCTTTGAAACCTTGTCAGCCACCAGAGACTTGATCAGGAGTCCTGTGGAGAATCACAGAAGGGTTTGGGCATGGAGTGGCTTGGTTACCATGGATACAAGGTATTGCCCTGCCCCTCCCCTTTTTATCCGCTCAGGTGGATGGCTATGGCAGGGTGGTGTGTTTGTGTATCAGTCTGTTGAATAGATACTAGGCCAATCACCGTTCAGAGCTCTGTAAGCCCTAGTCCAAGCTGGGGTCTCATCTTCACTGGGCATTGTCTGAAGCTGGGTCTGGCAGCCCTTGCCTGCTGCCTACTATAGCCACTCCCCAAGGAAGGTCTTTGTGGTCAGAGAACAGGGCATTGACTGGACAAACTGGCCCAACTTGTGGTATCTGCTAATTTCTGTTTGGTCTGGTTCCCTATCTCGGCCACCATCACAGAGGCCTCTTTCTCTGACCTGAGGGGCAGATCTGAGCCTTAGCTCACCACCTCCAGGGCCCAAGGCACAGGGGACAACCAGGCTCCCCAGTGGCAGCGCCATAGTGAAAATGTTCTGTTTCCCCCAACCGTCTTCTTCTAGGAGGAGAGCTACTATTCCACCATGGCTGCCTCTGGCTGGTCTTTGCTTGAGGTTACACCTGCTGAGCGCAGTTTATCAGGAATGGAGATCACAGAGGACTACTAGGAGAAGAAAGAAAGGAAATTAAGAAATAGCTGTCCAGCCCTGGCCGGTTTGGGTCAGCGGTTAGAGCGTCCGCCCGCAGACCAGAGAGTCCCAGGCTCAGTTCCTGCTAAGGGCACGTACCTCAGTTGCAGTTTGTTCCTGGCCCCAGTTGAGGTCGTGTGGGTGGCAGCCACTCAATGTGTCTCTCTCACGTCGATGTTTCTCTCTCTCTTCCTCCCTCTCTCCCTCTCGCTCTGTCTGAATGCAAAAATGTCCTCGGGTGAGGATAAAAAAAAAGAAACTTACATTTAATGCTCAGATAAATAAATAAAGAGATAACTTATAATTTATATGTATATCAAGTCAAAAGTTATATGAAAAGTTCTTCAACTAGGTATAAATAGAAGGCTGTGGACATTCTGCAGAAGAGAAAACTCCACTGGGAAAGACCAGCCAAAGAGATCACAGAGAAAGTAATACTTAAAGTGGTTTGTAAAGATGATCTCGAAGCTCGCCGGGAAATCTGGGAGTCGAGGGCCAGCACAGGTAGGATGAGTTGAGGCAAGGGGCAGGAAGTGAGTTCTGGAAACAACGATCGCGGAACAGCGGTGCTAAAGGAAGGCGGGAGCAAACGTGGGGATTGCAGGTGGCGCCAGCTTGTGCGAGACTTTGAAACAGCCCGTACCCTCTTTCCTTCAAGCTTCCTAGTTATTCTCACACGTAAATGCCAGCACATCGCTGCCTGCTTTAGGCTAAACCCGGCAAGGAGACAGACGACCGGCCCACGGGCGGCCGCGCCGGCCTCCCACGCCGGTGTCTGGTCAGTGCAGTGCTCTTTCTGGCTGAGCCCGCACTCAACCTCAGGGCTCTCAGCTCACGGTTCATCCTGCGCAGACAAACCAGGCTGCCTTCCCAGACCTAATCACACATTCCCAGTGTTAACACTGAAGGGGGCCTTAGAGAATGTTAGTCGATCTCCTCATCTTGGTGACCAGGAAGATTGAGGCCCAGAAAAGCTAAGGGACGTGCTCAAGATCTGACAGCTAAGATCAGGTGAGCTATTTCTTTACTCCCCTGGCTCCTTCCCTACGTCTCTAACTGTACTCGTCAAGTTGAGGGAAGGTGACTATGCTTCAGAGCCACAAGAGGCTGAACTTGGCCATCCTCCCAGAAAGGGATGCTTCGCCCACCCACCCCCCTCCTTCGATAGCCAGTGTTCAATTTCCGCAGGTGACAGTCCATGGGTCTTCTGTTAGAACTAGCCTCTTACCAGACTCAGGAGTTTATTTCCCCCTTATAAAACTCCTAGGACTGTTGAGGATCTTCTAGAAACATATCATAGAGGGATGAGGGGTGGAGGAAGGAGATAAATGAATCACATGTTTCTGAAGACTCATCATCTCGCTCCTCTCTCCACGGACCGCTCTTAATACCATTATACAAAATACCTAACACTCATATCCAAGCATCTTACTTGCAAACAGATCAATTAGAGGGTGAAGTGATTCATGCTGCAAATGGATTTTCCACATTAAGAAAATGCCATGAGCTCTCTTTAATGGAGCATCCTCTGAAATGCTTGTTGATAGATTAAGTCACTGGCGAAGGCAGAAACTCAAAACTAAATGTTCTCAGCCACGACTGCTGCTTGAGCACCAACCAGGAATTAAGATAAAGCAAATCTGACATTATTTTAAAATAATGTAATTTTCCCAGATTTAAATTTTTTATTTTACCGAATAATCAGCTAAAATACAGGAACATTGGCAGCCCCGGACCTCCATGGTTCTGTCGGCCACGCACAGTCCTCTCATCCTAAACGCCTCTCATGGGCAACCCAGACCTCTCCTTTTTGTCTTTTTTTGTTTCATTCATGAAAATAGCATAATAAATATGTTCCATGTGTCTCCAGATGGAGCCACCAATGACGCTTTTTTCCCCCAAAGCCCAGAGAAAAAGTGCTCTGGTGGGGATGTGTCTGGATGGAGAGAGAGAGGATTCGTCCCATCGTGTCTGGCAGGGTCCCCTCCCAGTGCCAGGACTCTGTTGCCCAGCCACCCCTTGTTTGTTTGCAGGGTGGGGCTGGGGTTTCTCAAGCTTTGATTCACCCTCAGAAATGAGTCTTGCCTGTTCCCTCCCCTCCATAATGGAGTCACAGTCACACACCTGCTCTCCGATGTCTGCTCCCTAGAGAGGTGAGATGCAGAGCCTGGCCTTCTGCTTCCAATACCACACGGTCCTTTGAGGATGCGAGAGTAGAGGCAAGACTCCAGGCCACAGGCCACAGGCCCGAGGCCGGGCGAGGCGGTGGGGTGGGAGCAGGGACTACGGAGGAGCTACTCCACCTGACTTCTCAGGGCCCGTCCTCCCTGCAGGGGTTGTTAACATGTGGTTGAGGCAGCCTCCCCTCCTTCCTCCTTCGAAAAACAGTCCGCTCTGTCTGTGTATCCGTCATTATGGATTTAAGAGAGTTGGATCGGCCTTCTCTTCTGGATTCTGGATCCAGCCACAATCAGAGCCAGTTTTCTCATCTATAAAATTTATAATACAATCACCTTTCTTTATGGAGTGTTGAGAAAAGTGTATGCGGAGGTGCTTTACGAGGTTTAATGACTAATAAAAATGCACCTGTGTCTGGCAGTGCACGGAGCGGGGGTCAGCCCGGGTCTCTTAGGGAAGGGAGGGAGACAGGCGTGGCAGGAAAGAGAGCACCTGATGCCAGGGAGGAGAGGGGAAGGGAGGCTTGTGCAAGAGATGGAAACCACCGGAACCAACTCCTTAATTTTGTCATTAATGTGGCCTCTGCTAAGCAGCAGCCAGTGGCTCCTCACTTCAGCTGACTGAAAACAGCTGTGAAGCCAGGCGACCTATGCTCCAACCCTGGCTTTGACATTAACCTCTCTGTGACCTTGAGCAAAGCATGTCTCCATCCCAGCTCTCAGTTTGCCCCTCTAGAAAGTGGGGATAAGGTGGCCAACAGGAAAGCTGAGCATCAGCATTTTGGAAAGGCAAAGACGTTACTGCCTATGAACTTGATATTCGTGACCTAGAGGACACAGCCCCTTCAAGGCCAACCACGTTTATGTCTCTATCCCGGCCACCCCTGGAGTACCATCTGAGATGATAGTTGTGTTATAAGCCACGTTTCATCACTAGCTAGAATTCTAAAAACCAAGTGGGAGTTGTTTACGGCTCAAGCAAGAGCTCAATGAGCAGACTGGGGAGAAGAAAGACACAACTGTATCAGAGAAGCCATGAGGTGACAGAGGGGCGGCCCCGGTATTCGGCGTCACAGCACACCTGCGCTCACGCCTTCGGGGCCGGGCACACGAGAACGCCCTGATTTATGTCCACACCGGCTCTGTCTCGCTGCATATTTCCCTGGCGGAGAGTCTGCGTCAGGATGAACGCAGCGGCATGGGAGTGGTGGAGGTGATGGTGCAGAGGGAGAGGGTGCTCATCTCCACGGTGGAATGCAGAGCCCAGAATCTGGGACCATTCTTCAAGGGGATAGGCTTGGGAGGAGGAGGAGGAGGAGGAGGAGGAGGCATGGCCTGGAGGGGGAATTAAGGGTTAACTTTTAAGTGAGGCTGACCTTGAAAATTGAGCAATATCCGGTCTTTACATGACAGAAAGCTCAGGCAAGACCATTAGTCATGGTCCCCACCCAGTGACAGTCACTTGTCCACCAAGGTGATGCTAGCCACGGTGATATAGTGGAAATGAGCTTTGGGCAAGGGCCCCACCCAGCTCCACCCTGACTAGTTACATGTTGTTGAGCAGTCAGTTAACTATCCTGGGTCTACTTTTATACACTGAAATCACATTTAACTATCCAGCAGAACTGCCATGAAGATTAAATAAGGGATTTGAAAATGGTTCAAAAATTACTTTTAGGTATTTCTATCATTTCTCAGGCAGCCTTGCATTTTGCTGGCCAGTGACAGAAAGGAGCATGTCGGTCTCTGGTGGAGCAGGAGCCTGAGGCTCCTGGCAGTGGTCCCAAGGGGAGCAGTGTCCCAGAGCAGGCCTGCCTTCCTCCCCCCCAGGGGCTAGGAGGCCAACTGCAGGATCAGAGCTCTTTCTGCCCATCTGAATTCCTGGCCAGACCTAGCGGATAAAAATACAGTGTACCCTGTTCCAGTTGAATTCCAGAGAAACAACAAGTAATGGTGTAGTATATTTCAAGTAATATTTGGGACATATTTATACTAAAAAATTCTGGTGTTTACCTGAACTTGAACTTGAACTGGGTACTCTATATTTTATCTGGTAGCCCTAACCCAGAAGCCAAATTCTATCCCCCCCTCTTTGACCACCGCTAATACCCATCAGTGCCTGACTTCTGGTGGGCAGGTCCGGGACATAGCACCATGTTGATTAAAATTCGGGACACCATTCACATTCTTCTGCTTGTGCTCAAGGAGAAGTCATACAGAGGCCTGTGCCAAAGGTGCTCCCTAGACTGGGAAACCATATCACTGTGTAGTGGGACAGGGCTGGGGGATAGAGAAGCCGTGGTTAACTCTTGACTTCACCATCTATAATGTTCAAAACTCTGGGTCCTTTGAATCATTCCCATTGAGTTCCAATCCCATCTCCCCTGCTTACTACCTATGAGATCCTTCCCGGCCTCACTCTTCTCATCTGCAAAATGGGAACAATGGCCTTTGACTTATAGGGGCTATAAAGATACAATGAAACAGTGGCACGAGGGCTGATCTCAGGGTGAGGCATGTGAGTGCTCAATAAATGGCAGCCAAGACCATGTTCATATTTTTGTCAAAAGTGCCCCAAGGCCATACTCCTCCTTCCTTAATGTTTCTTATAAATCCTCAGATCGGTTCTATTTTCAAAAGATCTTGAGTCCTTGAGTTTAGGCAAAGGCCTTATGTGGGTAAAGTCAGCTCCGGTAGACAGGAACCCAGAATGCTACAATACCTGGTGGGTGTTTTCCATCTAAACAGTCTAGTCTAGTAAAGCAAGTCCCTGGAGGAAGTGCAGGTGGGAGAAGTGGGTGAGGAATTCCCTGGGAGGTAGTGATCAGGGACACGCCAAGTGCCCAGGGCAAGTTGGGGGCCTTTATAAGGTTGCCAGGAGAGGCTGGCCATGAACCTTCATCAGCCTCCTCCCCAGGGTCCAGCTCGCAGCTCCGGTAAGTGGGAATGCACTCGTGCTCCGGGGGCCTTTCAGGCCCTCTCCTCCTCTTGAACTGCCTTGAGCCGCTAGGCCACGCTCCTCTTCTTTCTTGGGTAATCAGAGAAGTGGCAGGAGCCTGGTGACAATTAAGAAAATGTCACCCTAATTGTTACTTGGGAAATTCAGTCTCCATTCTGTACCATTGCGAGGTGTGACTAATATCCTGATTCTGGGTTTTAAGTCCCTGGCAAGAGGATTTTTCTCATTGAGGAGATATATTTAGAGCTGTCACATTTTGTAGCAAGTCTGAGCTTTCTTCAAAGCTTTCTCGGGCCCTTTTGGCACTACCAATAAGCTTTTCAAACTTTGTTTTTAGTTTTACAGAAATTGTATTTTATATATTGTATTTTATACTCCGCAGTTCCCATATGTCAATATCATGATTGCCCCCTGGGACCTGTGCTTCCCATTTCTAATCACAAATTTAGAAGGTGAGCAATGCTGCATATGAAGAAACCCAGAGAGCACGGCAGAGCTGGGAAGGCCTCAGAGACCTTCCCCATCAGCACCCTCCAGATAAAGGCATGGGATCCAGATTGCCCAGAGGTATGCCTGGCCAGTGAGGAAATAATCCTCTTTCCTCTGAACCAGGCTGCCTCTTGGGAAAACATCTTCCTTATAAGTCTCTTACCTCCAGTGATCTACTTAGCCTTAAATACCCTAGTTCTCCATGGAGGGCTAGAACCACTATCCCACAGCCAAGTTAAATGATTCACCTGAGCATCCCATGGTGAGCCAGCGGGGGAGTCAGGATTAGAACCGTTCTCTGAGTACCTGGAACTGGGTTTCTCCAACCCATCACTTGCACACACTTTCCTCCGAGACAGAGACTGCCTCTTCCTTATGCCCGTCCATCTTGCCCGCACCTATTGTACTACCCCAGGCAACAGTTAGCATTGCAGACCCATCAGCCGAGAGCCCGTGCCTTGATCTTGTAAAATGTCTGGACTCCTTTTTAATCACCAACTCAGTACCCCCATCATATTCCCTGGTAAGACGTAGAAATAAACTATGTATTTAATTGAGTCAAGAATCCACGGGAAGATGAAGGAAGATAGGAAATCAGAACAGCACAGAAGAAAAGGAAAGAGGAGAATTGCAACAGTGGGTGCATGTGAATCAATCCATTGAGCAATTCGAGGCTATTAATCACTTGTCACATTCTTGGCTGGTGGAGAAAACACTCTTCTCAGTGTCAGAGGGGAGGAGAGATGAGGAAGCCCTTCTCATACCAGCCCCTGCCCGGGTTTCTTTCAGGCTCACCTGTTCCTGCAGCAATGTCTTCCCAGCAGCATCAGCAGCAGCAGCTGCCCCAGAAGGCCCAGCAGCAGCAGGTGAAACAGCCCTGTCAGCCGCCGCCTGTCAAATGTCAAGAGACCTGTGCACCCCAAACCAAGAATCCATGTGCTCCCCAGGCTCAGAAGCAATGCCCACCCAAGAGCACAGCTGCCCCTGCCCAGCAGAAGTGCCCCATGGCCCAGCAAACTCCCAAGAGTAAATAGAAGGATCAACTGGAATACCACCTGCTCACCATCCAGGCTATCAGATGGGACCTTCCTTTTTCCTGCTCCTCTTCCCCCCAGTTCCAGGATGTCCCTTCTCTCCCATCTCTTCTATCCAGAGTCCAACGAAGCATTGTCAGGAGTTCTGCCCATTGAGACCGTCATCACACACCTCACCTTTGCCTGCAAGTCTCTTATATCTCATCCTGACACTCTCCTAGGTGGGCATGAAGGGGCCTCATTCTCTCCAACCTCCAGCTTGACCACAGCTATGGTGCATCCATGTCTCAAAGCAAAGAATGTACCTGAGCTTCTTCTAGGGTTACACCCTGACTAGTGAGGACACCAGAGGCCAATGCACAGCTTCTGCCTCATTTCCTTCCCTAGTTCCCCCTCCCTGAGCTTCTCATTTTTCCTCCCATAATAAATCTGTGTTTCGGGTAATTGTCTGTTTCCTGACTCCAGTCTGTGATCCATTCATTGGTTCAGAGGGGATATTTAGGGGAAGTGAGTGTGTGAGCACACACACGCCCGGGAATGCATCCCCATGGACAGAGTTGCTCTAATAACTAATGACAGGGAGGTCAGACCCTGATGCATCTCAGGTACAGGAGAGAGAGAGGAAACCCAGGGACCAGCTGACAAGAGTCTGGGAGACTTGTCCTGGCTAGGTAGCTCAGTTGGCTAGAGTGTCATCCCAAGTTTAAGGGTTTGATCCCCAGTCAGGACACATATAAGAAGCCACCAATGAATGCATAAATGAATGCACAAATCAATGTTTCTCTATTTCTCTTCCTTTCTCTATTTAAAATTGATTTTAAAAAATCTGGGAGACTCATGTAATTAATCCTATCTAGGGAAGGATAAAAGGAGGAAAAGCTTAGGTCGCACCATTAAGAGCACCCAGCTCACCTGACAAATGTGGTTTTTGCCTCTTGGAAGTTGTCATTCTGAAAAAAGAAACAAAACAAATATAAATTATGTGCTAGTACTACAAAGCACTTCTACAAATGTGCAAATGATATTTTTTAATTTGGATTTTTTAATTGTACTTTTAAAAAACATTTTATTGAATGTATTGGGGTGACACTGGTTAATAAGTTTATATGGGTTTTGAGAGTACAATTCTATAATACATCATCTGTACACTGTATTGTGTATTCACCACCTGGAGTCAAGTCTCCTTCTGTCATCATTTATGCCCTCCCTTTACCCTCTCCTAACACCCCTACCTCCCTTCCCCTCTAGTAATTACCATATTGTTGTCTGTGCCTGTGAGTTGTTTATTTTTACTTAATCCCTTCACCTTTATACCCAGCTTCCCAACCCCCTCCCCTCTGACAGCTGTCAGTCTGTTCTCTGTATCTATGAGTTTGTTTCTATTTTGTTCATTATATTCCATATAGGAGTAAAATCATATGATATTTTTCTTTTTGTGACTGGTTTATTTCACTTAGCCTAATACTCTTCAGGTCCATTCATGCTGTTGCAGAAGGTAAGATTTCCTTTTTTATGACTGAGTAGTATTCCATTGTGTAAATAGTACTACAGCTTTTTAACCCACTCATCTGTTGATGGGCACTTGGGCTGTTTCCAAATCTTGGCTATTGTAAATAATGCTGCAATGAACACAGGGGTACATATATTCTTTTGAATTAGTGTTTTGGGTTTTTTAAAATGTATTCCCAGAAGTGGATTCACTGGTTCAAATGGCAGTTCCACTTTTAAATTTTTAAGGTAACTCCATGCTGTTTTCCCACCTACAGTGCACAAGAGTTCCTGTTTCTCCACATCCTCCCCAACATGTGTTGTTTGTTGATTATTGATGACAGCCATTCTTACAGATGTGAGATGATATCTCATTGTGGTTTTAATTTGCATTCCTCTGATGATCTGTGACATGTAGCATCTTTTAATATGTCTATTGGTCATCCGTATGTCCTCTTTGGAGAAATGCCTATTTATGTCCTATGCCATTTTTAATTGGCTTGTTTAGTTTGGGGGGTGTTAAGTTGTATAAAGTCTTTATAAACTTAGAATATTAACCCCTTATCAGATGTATCATTGGCAAATATGTTCTCTCATTCAGTAGGTTGTCTTTTCATTTTGTTAATGGTTTCCTTTGCTGTGCAAAAACTTTGTAGTTCAATGTAGTCTCATTTGTTTATGTTTCCCCTGCCCAAGGAGATGTATCAGAAAAGATTGCTACAAGAAATGTCTGAGATTTTACTACCTATGTTTTCTTCTAGGATTTTTATGGTTTTGAGTCTTACATTTAAGTCTGTAATTTCTTTTGAATTTATTCTTGTGTACAGTGTAAGAAGGTGGTCTAGTTTTATTTTTATTTTTTGCACGTATCTGTTCAATTTTCCCAACACCATTTATTGAATAGACTGTCTTTACACCATTCTATGTTCTTGTCTCCTTTGTCATATATTTATTAACCATATTGACTTAGATTTGTTTATGGGCCCTCTATTTTGTTTCATTGATCTATGTGTCTATTTTCATGCCAATAGCATGCTCTTTTGATTACTATGGCCTTGTAGTATGGTTTGATATCAGTAGTGGTGTGATTCCTCCAACTTTGTTTTCTTTTCTCAATATTACTGTGGCTATGTAGGGTCTTTGGTGGTTCCATATGAATTTTTGGAATATTTGTCCTAGTTCTGTGAAATATGCCATTGGAAATTTATAGGAATTATGTTTGAATCTATAGATTTCTTTGGGTAGTATGGACACTTTAATGATGAAATTATACCTATCCATGAACAGGTATATGCTTCCACTTATTTGTATCTTCTTCAATTTCTTTCTTCAGTGTCTTATAATTTTCTGAATAGAGGTCTTTTATATCCTTGGTTAAATTTATTCATATATATATATATATATATATATATATATATATATAAATTGTAAATGGCATTGTTTTCTTAGTTTCTCTTTCTGATAGTTCATTATTGGTGTATAAAAATGCAACTAATTTCTGGAGATTCATTTTTGTATCCTTCTACTTAATTGAATTCATTTATTGATTCTAGTTTTTTTGGTGGAATCTTTAGGATTCCTTATATACAGTATTGTGTCATCTGCAAATAATAGTTTTACTTTCCAGTTTTATTTTTTTCTTCTTGTCTACTTGCTGTGACTGGGACTTCTAGTACTATGTTCTAAAAGCAGACATATCTGTCTTGTTCCTATCTTAAGGGAAACACTTCTAGTTTTTGCTCATTGAGTATGATGGTTTGTTATAAGTTTTCCATCTAAGGCCTTTTTTTGTGTTGAGGTATGTTCCATCTATTCTCACTTTGCTGAGAGTTTTTTTAATCATAAATGGGTGCTGGATTTTATCAAATGCTTTTTCTGCATTTATTGATATGATCATGTGATTTTTATCTTTCATTTTGTTTATGTGGTGTACCACATTTATTGATTTGAAGATATTGTACTAACCTTGCATCCCTGGAATAAATCCCACTTGATCATGGTATAGGAACTTTTTAATGTATCGCTAGATTTGCTTTGCTAATATTCTGTTGAGGACTTTAGCATCTATGTTTATCAGGGATATTGGTCTATAGTTTTTTTTCTGTGTAGTCTTCATCTGGTTTTGGAATTAGGATAATGCTAAACTTGTAAAATGAGCTTGGGAGTCTTCCCTCCTCTTGAATTTTTGGAATAGTTTGAGAAAGATAGGTATTAGTTCTTTGAATGTTTGTGAAGCCATGCAGTTCAGGACTTGTTTGTTGGGAGTTTCTTTTGTTTGTTTTGTTTTGCTCCAATTTCATTAGTTGTAATCTGTCTATTCAGATTTTATTATTTCTGATTCAGTTTTGGAAGATTGTATATTTCTAGAAATTTATTCATTTTGTCCAGATTGTCTAATTTCTTGGCATGTAGTTATTCATAGTACCTTCTTGTAATGCTTTGTATGTATTTGGTGTCAGTTGTTATGCCCCCTCTTTTATTTCTGATTTTATTGATTTGGGTCCTCTCTCTATTTTTCTTGATGAGTCTGCTTTGCAAATGAATTTTTTATGTATTTGTGTATTTATCAGCCATTCATTTACTCATTAACTCGCACTCATTTTTTCACTTATTCACTTGCCCATCGACTGTCCAGCTAGCTCTGCATGAGTTTAGTTTCCCTCTCTGCCGTGCTGGTTTTCCAGCGCTGTCCTGACACAGTCTATCTCAAGTTTCAGCCTACGTTTTGGAAGTCATGGTCAATTTCCTACAGAAGGAAAGGTCGTTTCAGGGATGGCTATGTACAGAGTATGTGCAGTTTTACAATTGGCTTTGTCAGTTACCTGCAAGGTCCAAAACATACCACAATCTGGCAGCACCAGATAATTCACTTTTCTCCAGATGTATCACTGAATGTTTATATCTCTGTTTTTTGGTTCATGCTTCTCCTTTTGACTAGAATATCGGTTCTCCACTTTGCTCTCCAGAGATCCTCTTAGTTTTATAGTTCTGGCTCAAATATTTTCACGGAACCTCACTTAACATTTTAGAAAGTACTGAAACTTCCTATGTGCTTTTATGACACTTTGTATAATTTTCTGTTAAGTAACATAATTATTATAATTTTTATGATTTACGCACATAATTTTCTGCATAATGGTTCACCTTTATGTGTTTATTTCTCCTACTAAAGTATGAGCCCTTGAAGCCTAAGTTGTCTTACTGTTTTTAATATTTCCCATCTGCAGAACTGGCTTTTCCAAAATACTTAGAAAGAACCGTTTCTGAGTAAAATGGAATAGCTTGTGGAAAACCCGTAATCTCGCCCAAATCTAGAATAAATTTAGGATTCTGGGCATGAGCTGAAGGAGGAAAACCTGGACTTTTCATGATGGAAGATTCTTGCGAAGGGGAGAGAAACTGAGAGTTGTTGTATGCTATGCAGGGACTTCAAGGAAGTGACTGGTTTTCTACTCAGGAAATTTAGTTAATTTTGGAAATATTCAGGTACTAAAAACCTAAGCAGAACGTTT